TGCTGGAGGTGGAGGGGAAGGGAAGACATAGACACACAGGTCCATTCAGCAAGAAGAGAGTGCTCCAAAATGCCCTGAGGGTTTTTATGCTCTGATTTTGGGTAGCCCCCCTGAAGCAGCTGAGTTGGGATCAGGGCAAAATATTATTTTGAGGAGTTTGCTATCAGGAAGGAAAACAAGCTGGCGGTAGACAAAATATATTTGGAAAACAAACCTTTGAAAAATGTTATTGTCAGTATTTTTTTCGTGAGTATGTTCTAAAAGCTTGCAGCTTCCCTTAAGGAGAGATTGTTACGATGATCTCAAGACCATCAGACCCAATCTTATACTGCAGGGCTATACTGTAAGTTTCTAGCCAGTGCTGAAGAACTCAGGAACTTTGGGAGTGACAAAGAAATACCCTTACTGGCTGCTAAGCAGAAAGAGCCACTGAATTGGTGATCTTAAAAAACAGAATGACTCATTCTCAGTCTCTTTCTTCCTATTTGAATCTCTCCCTGGAGGGATAGTAGTGAAGGCATCTCCTCTCCCTGGCTGTCTTCCAACAGCATAGGGATAATTCCCCCATAGTATCTAGAATAAGTGGGATCAACTAGGCAAGCTTGACCCTGGGCCTCTGGCTACTTTTTCTGCTTTCTGTTTCTTTAACCTAATCATATGCAACCAAATAATGGTCATGTCCCAGATGGAAACATCCAGCCTTGGAAGCAACTTTGTGAGTCTGAGAGGTCCAGAAACCTTGGATCCATTACTTGGAGCTAACTGGTGGCAGAAGGGAGTTTCTGTCCCAGAGAAGATAATCATCAATAAAAGAATGGCCACCCACCATCGTCCAACTTGACAAACCACTTGAGCCTGGAGGGAATCATTTGCACAGTCAAAACTGAGATGAAATGTAAAATTCCTATTAGGTAATCTACCAAAGGCTTCATATTTTGATGGTTTTAAGTCTCAGTCTCCCTGAGAAAATAACAGCAGTTATTACCTTTTGTTTTTAAATCTTCAGTAACTTGAGTTTGTGAGAGCCTACATATTTACATATTTCTTTCTGTATAGAAAAATGAATTTAAGAATTTTTTTTCTGTGTAGAAAATAAACAGCTATTTCATATTGAATAGAGTGACTTTTACTCTTCCTTTAAGGGATACTGTAGACAAGAGGTGAACCTAAACTATAAATACTTTTTCCCTAGAGAGGTGGAGGGGGTTACAAAGATGGTAGAGTGTGAGAAAAAGAGCCTAATTCCTCTCTTTGGAGGCTTCTCTAGCATTGAACCCAATTACTAAGTGCATGAATCCATCACAGAGGGGTCCCTTATTAGAGGAGAGATCAAAGCACCCCAGCACTCCTGGGCCCAGAAGTGGTTGCTAATTGTTAGATGAGGAAAAGCTAAATAATTAGAGATGTCCAAAGTGTGGAATTACTGCCTTATTAGGTAGTGAGTTCCCTTTCACAATATATCTTCAAGATGAGACTGAATGACCACTTGTCAGGAATTTTGTAAAAGTGATTTCTATTTGGATATGGGTTGAATTAGGTGACCTCTAAACTCTGGGAGGGCCCTTGCAGTTCTAGGATTCTAGGATTATGTTACCTTATTGCAGACAAAGGCTTCAGTATAAAATCTACCTCAGGCAGAAAGCCTCTACAAGGATGACATAGCCCAGTAGAAAAGGAAAGGGTACTTCTGTTCCCTGGAAGTTCCAAAAGTGACAGGGAATAATGAAAAGCAAGAAAGTCACTGGGCCACTTTAATTGCCAAGTCCACTCAGTTTAGGCTCCAGATCTAAGTCAGAAAGGAGCTGCCAGTCCCAGCGGCCACCAAATGCAGTCACCAATTGACTCACCCATTCCTAAGGCTGTACCTCTTCCTAATTGACACTGCTGTTTCCTGCATCACCAGTCTATAAAATCTACCGAAGCTTCCCCACCCCTCCACACTCCCAGCTCCGCCCCCTGCCTCAAAGATGCAACCACCTATATTCAAACTGTCCTCCTATCTTCTTACACTCTCTTCACATCCTAGCACTAGCTGAAACCTGGCTTTCCTTTACCTCTTCGATGCTGGCCACTCCTTGCATCATGTCCCTGGAATAATATGGCCAGACTTGTTTCCCACTGTCACTTCCAGTCTTTCCCCTTGCTACTCAACAATCTTTTAAGTTCATTTCATCAAATTATAGCCAATCCTTATCATTTTCAGCTACTGTGGGACACACCTCCATCTTCCCTAATGACCAGGGGCTTTCTTCCACCCTTTAATCTCTGCCATCACCTATGGTAGCTTCAGTATTTATGTGGTTTATCTTATGAACATTCTAGTCTCCTCAGCTACTTACACGATATCTGGAGATACAAATATGCAATGCAATGCTATTCCTGTCTTGCATCATCATGAAAAACTGTTCCACCTCCACAGTCCTGAACTCTTGAAATTTCTCCATATTAAGAATTTCTAGAGAGGCAGAGCTAAGATGGCAGAGTAAAGGCCTGAGTTCTCCCCCAAACCCTCCAAATACCTTTAAAAATTACTCTAAACAAATTCTAGAGCAGCAGAATCCACAAAAAAGACGGACTGAAACAAATTTCCAGCCCCAGACAACTTGGAAGTTCAGCAGGAAAGGTCTGTCGCACCAGGGTGAGACAGACCCAGAGACCAGCTCCAGCAAACCTGGAGCAGGCCTCAGGGCCACTGAATCACTCACAGCAGTGCCGTTTCCAGAATTCTCAGGCCACAGACGCCAAAGACAGCTTTAGAAGGTCAGCAGAAAAGGTCTGTCACACCTGCGTAAGAGTGGAGTCCAATCCAGTTCAGGCTGTGCCAACAAAGTCCAGAGCCACAGCAAACCAGGAGGAGGCCTTGGGAGTGACTGAATCAGCAGCAGCAGCAGTGGTAGCGGTGACTGTTTCTGGAGCTCTCAGGCCACAGACTGTAAGGGGGTCAAACAGCTGGTCTGAAGATTACAGGGTTCTTTTTGCTAGCACTGAGGCAAGACGCTGTTGCTTTGCCCATACTTGGATCTGGGTGCTGGGTGAGGAAAAGCACTAGCATAGCAGAGCTTGTAGCCACAGTGGAGGGGGGACCCTCTGCACAGTTCCAGGGCAGAAAAGGCTGCTTGTGGTCACTCAGACCAGAGCACAGGCCAGGAGAGTAGTAAACACCTCTCTTTAGATTACACCACCTTGAAAGAACTGAAAACTTACAGGTCCCTAGAAGTATCTCTGAAAACAGCTTCACAAAACCCCTAAAGCTTGGGATAGTGTGCCCTCCACCCTGGAAGCAGAGCCCTACTTTAGTGAAGACTTAAAAGTCAACTAATAGGCTGGGAAAATGAGCAAACAGTGGGAAAAAAAACCTGACTATTGAAAGTTACTCTGGTGACAAAGAAGGTCAAAATTCACACTCAGAAGACAACAAACTCAAAGCTCTTACATCCAAAGCCTCCAAGAAAAATATGGATTGGTCTCAGGCCATGGAAGAGCTCAAAAAGGATTTTTGAAAATGAAGTAAGAGAATTAGAGGAAAAATTGGGAAGAGAAATGAGAGTGATGCAAGAAAATCACCAAGAAAAGAGTCAACAGCTTGATAAAGGACATGGAAAAAAAAATACTGAAGAAAATAACCTTAAAAGACAGGCTAGGCCAAATAGCAAAAGAATTTCCTGTCTTTCCAACTTTTTGATTACCTCACTTCTAAATCTGCTTTTCATTCCCATAGAAACCTCCAACCCTTATCTCTTCCTTGTCTTTTACCGCATCATGTTAGATCTGGCTTCACTTCACTTCAGTCTCAATCCTATAATTACATCAGTTCAGTAAAGACATCCTCTGTCCTCCTACCTTGCTAATCCAAAACCCCAGATCATTCCTGTCTGCCTCCCCTGTTATTATTCCCTAGTTGTTAGTAAGGTCACTTCCAAAAAGAATTTTAGCATAAGGGGGCTTAAGGAGAGTAGTTTAAACTGTCCACTGTTCTCACCTCTGCCCTTTCCCACCCCAGTTCATTTGTAAAAGTCCTCATCTCTGTCTCCTGAAATATTTTTTTTGTCCTTAAAGGCCCAGGTCAGCTGCCTCTTCCTCTATGATGTCCATAGCTATAAATAGCTCATCCTGCTAATATTTCTGACTCATATATAAAATTTTCCCTTACATTGTATTTGTGTACATGTTGTATCCTCCCTATTGGACTGGAAGCTCCCTGAGGTTTGGAACTATTATTTTCCAACTTTGTATCTCTAGTGCTAAGCAAAATGCCCTACATATTAATAATTTTTTATTGGATGGATGGATGGATGGATGAATTTGCTGCCTTCCTCCTACAGAAAGCTCACCCAGTTTGTACAGAAAGGGCATCCTCCCACTCCTAAAGGCATGTGAGGCATGCACAGACCACACCTGGACACAGAAAACCAGCCAGATCATTGATTCTCAAACCTTTATTGATAGCAAAAAAATCAAAGCAGCCTTAGTGTCTGGTTAAACGTGAAGGTATAAGTGGCCAGGCCTTAGGACCTGTGGTGCATTAAGGGGAAATGAAAGCAGAAGAGATCCTGGAGAGGACACCGCCCCAGCCTGCTCAGTAACACTGTGTGGGAAAAAGGGTTTGCGTCTTTAGCCAACACAGGGCCCATACCCTTTCACAAATAAACGTGGAGTACAGGATGCTGGGGGGGCGGGGTAGGGGAGGGAAGAGAGGGGGAGATAGATAGCAGGACATACAGCCTCTTGAGACAAAGAGAAAGGAAAACAGGGAGTGAAAGAAAAGGAGTAATGGAAACAGAAAAGGGGTGGAGGGCTCAGAAAGGTGGCTAGGGAGGTGAGGAGGTAAACCAAAACATACTGAAAGACAGAGAGAAGTAGTAGGAGACATGGTAAGAATGGGAGGACACCCAGGCAGATCTCAGCAATTCTGGGGAATCTTCAAGAATGCCTCCTCACACTCATATACAAAGCTGAGCCAAATTATTCACACCCCCTCAGAAATAAGCTTCTTGTGCAGGCAAATGGTGAGGGTGCTTACTCCCCTAGAAAAATTGAGAACAGCAGGCTGGGCATCGTGTGGAAGGGTTAGGACCTCCTACGGCTGGTCCTTAACTTCAGGGTCTTTGTCATAGATGTAGCTCCCCACTGCCCCAGTGTTCACTCCTGTTGAACCAGTACAGAGAAGAAGACAAGTCAGAAGGTCAGGACAGATGTCAGAGTCCAAAAAGGACTTATAGTTGGGGTGGAAAGCTCAGGATGTGGGTCAGGGAGGGTCCTGAGGACAATAGGACTGACTCCCAGGAAACTACAGATAGAAGGATTTAAAGTTTACATTAACGTGACTGTCCCCCTCCTCCTCCCCATTTCCCCCTCCCAACCAAATGAAAAAGGTTCTATGCCAAACTCACCCTTTGGTCCAAACAGAATTCCATAGCAAGGCTTATGGCAATATGGTTGTCCATCATGCTAGGGAGGGATGAAGGAGACAATGTCACTTACAGACTGGGAATTTCCTCATGGAAATTCCTCCATACCCTCCACCTTGATCCAATTTCCCACTGCTGAAGAGGAGAAGGGTAGTCTGAGAACAAACGGACCCCTCAGGGTCTTCTCCTGTCTTCTGGTGTGACAGTATGTACGTGTGTGTGTGTGTGTGTGTGTGTGTGTGTGTGTGTGTGTGTAATAGTACACTGGGACAATCATGGACAACAGAGTTCTAGGCTTAAAGCCAAGAGATCTGAGTTCCAGTTGACCTCCTCTCCGATCTTTGGACTCAGTTTCCTTTAGTGTAAAATAGAGACAGTAACCCCTTCCAAGCCTCCCTATCAGGACTTTTGTGATGGTCAAATGAGACAATGGATAAGGAAATCCTTTGTAAACTGTGAAGAGTGTTTGCACCTGTGTAAAGTATGACTTAAGGTACTTCAAACTCCTGTCTGTGATTTGTCTGTTTGAAGTCCTGTTCAGGCCACCAGAGGGCAGAATATACTAAAAGAGCAAGTGTGTGAAAGAGGAACTACCCTCAAAATGGTCTTGGTCTCTGTCATCACCCAGTGTGGCTCTTGGGGCTGCACAATTCCCCTTGGCCTTCACTCACCTCATTTTGTCTCCACATACCCTCATACCTGACTTCACTAACTTGCTGCCTTCTCACTATAGATTCTTGTACTCAGTCCCCCATTCACCAATTGCTCCTACACCTTGGATCTCTTTTTTCTTACCTTATACTTTCACCTCCACTCACCTCTGCGTGTCCACCAGGTGTTAGTGTCTTTCCACAACGCTCACAGCGAAGGCAAGGCCGGTGCCAATCTTTTCCCAGGGATGTCACCTTCTCCGCTAGATGGGCGTGGTATGATCAGATATTCTCTCCCCAAACACAAATACACAGTGACCTAAGCCACACACAACTTGCACACATATGGCCTTGAGACAATCACTCTCATACATGCACTCAAATACAGGGTCCTGAGAAACAAACACACAGTGCCCTGAAATCTGAGACATAAAGTGCTCTGAAACACCTTCACACACATAGTCTTAAGTGCTTTGAGATACAAACACACACACACACATACACACACACAACTTCAAGACAGAACGTATCTTTCTAAGTTTATAGTGTGAACTGGGATGAGGGATTAGAGGGGAGACAATGTGTAGGTGGGTGGAAAACACTTACCAAAATAGACCCTCTTGTTACATCGAGGACACATGTTGGGCTCCCCAGTGAAGGTTGTGACACTGGATGCTAAAACAAGACAGCAGGGAAATGGAGCTAAGCTGCCACTTTCTGAGACACCTCAGTCCTTCCCCAGTAAGTACTTACCTTTGCTGGGCCCTCTGGAGGGGCCGCTGGCTTTCCGATCCTCGACTCGAATTGGGTGTTCAATAGGGCCAGTGACAGGAGCCTCCTCTGCCTGTGGCTTCTCATAGATGTAAGAGCCTGCGCCCCCAATGTTTACACCTGCACAGAAGCTCAGGTCACAAATGAACACTGGATCACAGAATCACAGGTTTAGAGCTAGAAAGGCTTTAAAGACCATCTAGGCCTACTCTCATTTTAGAGATGAGGAAATTGAGACGCAAAGAAATAACTTGCTCAAGGTCACATAAGTAACAAGTGATGAAGGCAGGATGAGAAGGTCACATACACAAAGACACAGCTCTCCTTCATACATACATAAATACACACATCATGTGCAGGTCCTGGCATACACTAGTACTTAATAAATATTTGTTAATTGACTGGGTGGACATGAAACGATGGCTTGCATGGCTTTCCTCACTTGCCCCCTCACCTTTGCAACCTCCATCCAACTGAAACATCACCAACAAAGTGGTTCATTGTCCAAATGGGATGACCCAAAACCTCCTCTCTCCAAGCAGAGCACCAGTATGAGAGGCAGCTAGCTGGTCCTATCCTTGGACCCAGGCATTAGGAAAAGAAAGGGTAAACTTTTCCCCTCCCAAACCCATCTCTAAGGCCAAAGTTCAAAGGTCAGCCAAAGGAGCTAAGCATTCCTGTTTGGACTATGGAGTGGTCTAAGGTCAAGGATTATGGTTTAGGTCATAAAAGGTCACTGCAAATAAGAGGTCACAGTTTGGGATTATTGGGTGTCAAAGGTTATTTTTTAGGTTATGGGGTCGAGGATCCCTGGATAGGCAATGAGGGTCAGGGTCATGAAATCATAATTTTGAGCTGTATGATTTGAAGGTCACAGTTTGGGTCATGGGTTTGAGGGTCAAAAGTCAAAGTTTAGGCAATGAGGGTTGGAAGTATAGTTCTTTCACACAGAATTGGAGGGTTCAGGGGTAGTAGGATGGGCTATGCATGTTAGGGGTGGGGTCACAGAGCAGGCCACAGAAAGTTGGTGTCCCTACCTTTAGGCCCAAACAACGTGGCGTAGCAGGGCTTGTGGCAAAACGGCTTCCCATCGTGCTGGGGGAAGAGAGTCTGTCAGTGCATCCTGAGGGACCAGAACCCCTTCACTTCCAAGGGGAACCTGGGCCCAGCTTGTTCATTCAACCACTTCCCTTTCAGTTTCCTATCCCCAAAAACTCTCCTCCAACCAAGTGAATGCTTTTATTTTCAAAGGAATCTCATACTTCCAGGACATATGTGTTGCAGCCTCCTCCAAATTCTATATATATCTATCATGGAGGGCAGACAGAGGACATAAGGGGATGACGGGGGTCAGAGACTTTAGGAAAACAATACTGAAGCCACTAGGGAAACAGAGTCAGTGGTTGTCAGGAATATATAAAGTCATTAAGGGGACAGGGTCATGGTACTTAAAAGGATGAAGCTAGGTCTTTGGGGAATCAAGAAGTCCCTTGAAAGCTAGAGTCTGCAAGTGACCCTAGGAGAATGGGTTCAGAATGGATGGGGCTCACCTCTGCATGCCCTCCAGGTGTCAATGTCTTGTTGCAACGCTCACACTTGAGACAAAATTTATGCCAGTCCTTGCCCAGGGAGCTCACTTTTTCCGCTATTGAGACATGGGAGTAGAAACAGAGAGAGTAAGAGTCTGTCTTGTGCTCTGCCACCTCTCCCTTCTCTGCCTTCCTCCTTCCAGGCATTCACCCTCCATAATGAAGGGAGCTGGGATCTGGGAGATCCCACTCCCATAGTTACCCATAGAATCTCATAGATTCTACCCATAGAATCATAGACTCTTGGCTTCACCAATCATTCCACACCACACCTATAAAGGAATCCCTCTATGATGAAAATCATCAAGTCTTTTTTCACACAAGTTTATGTATCCACACCTTCCTTCAACATGTTGTAATTTTGAATTAAAAACAACAACAACAACAACAAAATAAAGGCCTTTACATTTATTTTCATCTCATTAAATTTGGCCCTTTGACATTTTAGGCAATGTGGCAGAGTAATGGAGCAGCACTGAAGCCAGGAAGACTTGTGTTTAAGTCCTACCTATGACACATACTATGTGACTCTGGGCAGGTCATTTAATCTCCCACTGTCTTAAGCAACTATCTAATTGCAGAAAAAATGTCACCTTGCATTGGTAAAGGGAATCTCCTCAGAATGAGGCATATGCTGTCAGATATGGTAAATGTATTTTTTTCTTGTTTACCTTGTTTTCTTGTACTTCTTTATTAAAAAAAAAAAGAGGATTCTATTGTGGGACTAGTATTGGGAAATGACAGCACTGTTTTATTTTTTAAAAAGAATTTTTTTTAAAGAACAAAAAGTTAATGTAAAAAGATCTGAGTGTTTTAGTGGACTGCAAGCTCAATTAAAGTTAACAAGATACAGCATTCCAAAAAAGTATAGGACAAGAGATACGATGGTCCTGCTATGCTCTGCCCTGGTCACCTGGAATACTGTGTCCAATTCTAGATACATCTTAGGAAGTACACTGAAAAACAAATAGATTCAGGAACGGCAAGAGATTATTCCAAAAGGCATTGTTTGAAGGAACTGGGAATGCTTAGTCTGCAAAGGAAAAGTCCTAGAGAGTACTCTCACTAAAGAGCTTTAAATACATGCTAGCTGACCACTGGTTGGGTATATTGTTATAGGGTATTCTCATTCAGTTATGGGTTGGACTAGGTAAAGTCCCTTCTCAATTCTAAGATTCTATGTGTGACTGAAACTCATGTTTGGGGAAGGCAGGGGCAGAATAGTCTAGTCTGGCTGGACTGAAGAATCACATGAGGTAAATTGGGAAAGGCAGAGCAATATTCAATTGTGAAGGGATGACTGGTAAAGGAAGAGGCCACAGGGAGAAGGGAAAGTTTTAAACAGAGGAGTAATGTAACCACATCTATATTTTAAAGAATTATTCTAGTTGTAACAAGAAGGGTATTTACAGCAGGGTGACAATGAAAACAGGAAGATGTATTATAGTTCATTGATTTCCCATCTCACCTCCTCTAGAGTCTTCCTTATCCACTCCAATCGACCAGTGATTACATATCTCTTACCGTCCCCTGGTTCCTTTAGCACTTATAGACAAGGTCCTGCATCTGGCCTTCATTTCACCCATCCTATGTTTTTTAGAGTCCAAGTAAGCCCAGTCTCCCCAACCAGACAAGAAAGTCCAAAGGATTCTCCCCAGGGCTGACTCCATCCACCTGCCCATTCCCCTGCCTCCCTAAAGGTTCTGATATATCGCTAAAACTGAAGGACACACAAAGCTATCAAGGAAAGGAGGCAGAGAATGAAAGTAGTGGTCTTGGGAAGCACATGGGGCTGTTAGACAAAGTAGCTGCAAATATCTAGATCATGAGGCCACTGATGCCCCGAAGCCAGTAGCCAGTCATAGCAAGTAGACTGGGAGCCAAAGGCCCTTTTCTTGGAATTTCCTGAAATTTTGACAAAGAAGAAATACAGATAAATGCCCTCTCTTTCCAAGCTCCCCCTACACACACTTTTTGCCATGTGAGCAACAGTCTGGAAGAGGAATTCCAACCTCCCTTCCCTACAGTTGGGCTGAATCTGGGGATTTCTGTTTCTGCCCCTCTTAGCTTGAGAATGAGGAGAGAAAGGAAAGACCATGCCTACCAGAGTCTATATTTAGTCCCGGATTTCCTGTTGGACAATAGACACTGCTGGAAGGAAGGGAAGGAAGAAGGGAGGGGCTCCTTCCCTCTCCCGTTCTCTGGCCAAGGTGATGAGAGAGACCAGGGGACAGGCACAACAACAGCTCTCTTCCAGCTTAGTAGAAAGGAGCTGCTTCCCCCAAGGCTCCTTCTTCCTCCCACTCCCACCCCATGAATAGCTCCAGGATAGGGGCAGAGACCAGGCACCTCCCCCAGGCACAGCCAGTAACAATGAATCAGTACTTTGTTTTGAGAGCTGGCAGAGATGAGAAGGCAGAGGGACAGATAAGTGAGACTGGGACCTATTTCTTATCCCGGTATTTGGTCAACTGCAGAGGGTGGTAAGAATAGCTTCTGGACTCACCCCTCCAGAGAGCTCCAAGCCACTGTCCTGCAGCCTCATCTCTTGGCTCAGTTTCTTTCCCCATACCCACAAGTTCCTAATACTTATGACTCTCATTGTGCTCTCATTGTGTCTCACGGAGAGGGAATTGGAGAATGTCAGAGACTGCAGACAAAAAGGACCACTCAGAGCTGGTATGGAAGGGAGAGGGGAGTAAAGAGTCCAAGGCTTCTGCCACACTGGGTCAACCAGAAACGCTGATTGGATGCCTCTTTATCTTCCCCCCTCCTTCTCCCACCAGGAAACAGCTGTTCTGATTTCTCCTCCACAAAAAAAAAAAAGAAAGAAAGAAAAGAAAAAAAAAGTTCCTTAAAGGCTCCTTTTGTGTTGAAGTTGGGGGAGAGGAAAGATATCTGTGTATCTCTGTAGGGGAGGTCTAGCAGGGACAGGACATAACCAAACTAAATTAATGTTGGAGAGAGAAAGTACATGATGAAGAAAAAGGAAGAGGGCAGGATCTGCAAGAAATTCAGATGAGAAACAAGGGGAGAACATTCCACGATTGGTGCCTGAAAAGGATTGTTTAGTACAGCTGACCCTGAACGGGTAAAAGGTAAGGAAGGGCGGTGGCCTATATAACACAATCCTCATTTGTGAGTATTCAAAGAACACTCAAGCTATCAGAATAATAAATCACATTTCCATAGCTGTCTAGTAATGCTGGTAATATCCCCCTTTGTCCAGTGAAGTTTGTAAGCAATACGTCATATGCCAGTCTGTCCATACTGGACAAGGAGAGATGAGAGCCCTAGACCAGAGAAAGGGTCCAAGGTAAACTCAGCTTTAGCTGACACCATTTTTCTAGGAAGCAAAGAAGAGGCATTTGGGATGTGATCCCAGACCCTCACTTTCACTGTGCCAATTAAGTAGGGACTTCTTTGACCTCCAAGCAATCGATGAGGTATTCCATAGGAAAGGTCCTGTCTGCTCAGTGACTGTGCCCGTTTAGAATGGCTATCACAAGGCCAAGGCCAGGTCAGAGAGAAAGAAGGGGCTCAGGATGTGGCAGATATAAGTTAAGGAGGGAGAACAAAAATGGGAACCAGTGAAGTGAATTCTAGATGAATCCAGAACAGAGTAAGAGAATCCTCAGTCAGTGAAGGGAAGAGAAGAGAATGTAATGAGGAAAAGGGAGAACTCAATCTGTCTGGGTGGGTGGCCAAGAGAATCCATACTCCATAGAGGATGTCTGGTCTGAAAGCTAGGAAGTGAGAGGACATGGATAGGTGGGTAGGAATATCAGTTCACATACAATCACATAGATTATGAGGAAATGTCCTTTGACATACTAGTAGAATAGGAGGTAACAAGTAAGCCTAGGCTGAGGTATTTTTTATGTGAAGTAATTAGGGCATTTGGTCCTAGACTGGGAAAAGAAACTGCAAGGAAGCCAAATCTGCAAGAGGAAAGTGCCCTGGACCTACCAGTTCGATAGAGGCAAAGGCCCTATTCAATCTAGGGAGAACAGTTTGGGAATGAAGACAAAGGCATACTATTCTTGTCTGGACCACGTCTGCACATTGAGAAATGGTGCCTATACATTGAGGAAGTCTGTTAATGTGGGTCTGGGCTTATAATGAGTTCCTCAGATTCAGGCAAGCATAAAGCCAGTCAAGTAAGAACATGAATAAGTTTTCCTTCACTTTGTTTCTGGCTAGGCTTCTAAGGTCTAGGCTGAGGTCAGGTCTTACAGCCACTTACTGGTACAAAGATGATCCTGGCAGGGCTTGGATGGAACCAGTCAAAAAGAACCAAAAGCCTGGAGGACAGATACTATCTCTATATAAATCTACACCACTCCTTCCCCCAACACACACACACAAACACACACCCCTCCCACCCCCTCATCAGATATAAGGGGTCAGACCTTTATTCTATCAGGGATCCAGAGGAAGCAACTGGAGATTTTGGCAGTTGCGGCCCTCTTTCCTCAGGTGCAGCCCTTTTCTCTCCCTGTTTTTTTCCCCACTCCCACGCCAACATACAACTATCCCTCACCAAACAGATGGCCTTCCCCTCTCCATCCCTGCAACCTTCATAGCCTTGATGAGCCCACCCTCCTAATTCCAATTCACAGGTCTTCCTGCTTCAGGGCCAGATCCCACAGCATACAAGTCCCTCCACACAGAACAAAGTTTCATCATCCTCTGAAGGCCTCTTCTCCCACTTCAGGCCCTCGAGGCTACACAAGGCTTTTTAGTCTTTGGGTGCAGCCTTCTGACTGAGTCCAAGTTTTACAGAACAAATCCTTTAATTAAAGGATTAAATATTAGAGAGCTGAATACCAATGTAGTATGTGTATGAGTACTGGTACCAGGAAAGGGGGAAGTGCTTCCAATGAAGATTCCCATGAACCCTTTTAGTTTCGGGTCTGCTCCACTGATACCTGTGGGACAAGGTGACTAACCCATGTCCCTATTCATAGGTGTTTTCTGTCTCTACCCTCGAGTGAAATTCTGGGTAACTGGAAGGGAAAGAAGAGAGAAAGCGCTGGGCTGTGGCTGCCGAGCTAAGGTGAACAACAAGGTGGAAGATGGAGAACCAGGCAGGAACTGAAGTAAGAGGACGCTGGGCCTGAGCGGTAGGAGGAGGTGGATGATCCCGGAGCTCTTTGGAGCCACAGGAATCTAGTGAATCGATGGGTGGGGCTGTGTCTGTGATTAAAGGCCTCCCCCTGGTTCTCAAAAACACTATCTCAGGTTCGGGACCTAAAGGTGCTGACCCGGATTTGGCCGAAAAGACAGCCACCCCGCCCAAGGCGGCACAGCTCTGGACTGGAAATCCGGGTGACCACCACCCTTTAGGGGTTCCAACCGCTGCTGGGGGTGTGGGTGTGAGAGTCAAGACCCGGTAATGCCTGCTCCCAGCTGATCTTGATCCCGATTTTCTGGGACCACAGCTACAAAGATCTCACAGCTCAACTTACGATGGGGGTTATGGGGGTCAGGAAAGACAGAGTCCCCTAAATGTGCTGCCCTGGAGGTGGAGGCCCTGTTCCAAGAAATGTATCTTTCGAAACCACACCTGGGCTGGACAAGTGTGTGATGGAGAGGGGCAAGCAACTACCCTTCTAGACCCTCCGCTGAGAAGCAGGGGTGGCGCCTACACCCCTCAAGATTGGGGACGTAGGGACCCCCCCCCAAGCTTGGAGCCGGATACAGCGCACTGCCCCTCCTGCTCGCCCTCCAGGGGCTCAGCCCGCCAGGCTTGGGGACCTTGGAGAAGGAACGCGAGCGCGAGCGTTCTCGGGGTCTTTCGGTGGCTGCCCTTGGGGAAAGGGGGAGAGGAGAACTCACCGAAATACACGGTTTTGTCGCACTTGGAGCATTTGGAGGCCATGGTCCAGGGCTGGATCGGTCTGTTCACCGGCTGCCTTAGCTCCCCACGTTCCCACCCTAGCCTCTTCTCGCCCCGCCCAGAGCGCCTACCCGCCCCTTCCCAGGGACGACTGAAGGCGGGTCCTTCTCCCAACTCCCTCCATGCCGGGAGTCCCCAGGGAGGTGGGGGGGGGGAACCCGGTCGGGAAAGGGGAGGGAGAACTCGGGGAGGGGTTGGATGCTACTCCCAGCCTCCCTTAACCCCAGTCCCGGGCCCCAGGAATCTAGAGTGACGTGATCCGGAAGACTGGGGAGGGGCTCAGCCCCACCCAACTTGTGGTGGATGGAAACGGGGAGGTGGTGACCTAAGGAAGCAGGAGGCGGGGGCCGCAGCCAGACTTCCATCCCGCAGATAGGAGTATGCGCTGGGGGGGAGGTGAGGGGGGAGGTCGGGGGCTGGGGAGGGTTGGGAGAATAAACTAGCCTGGACTACTTGGAAACAATCCGCGACTGCCTTCCCTCCTGTCCTCAAGGGCACGTGGAGTGGAAATGGCAGGACTGTCGGAGTCCGATCCCACGGAATCTCGGCGCAGAACAGGTGAACAGAGACAGGGTCACAGGGACTCAGTCGTATGCACGCAGTGCTAGGGAGGGGTCGTAGCTCTCCTTCCCTTGCGGTGAGAGGAGACCAGAGCTCTGCCTGAGCTCTGCAGCTGCCCCAGGCCCCAGCACCCTGGCTTCGTTTTCTTTTGTTGCTCAGGGTTTCCATGGAGACCGAGCGGTGAAAGTATTGGCTTGCCGGTTTGGGTGGCGCCCACACACACACACACACACACACACACACACACACACACACCGCCTGCCCCACCCTCCTGGCCAGTCTGGACTTAAAAGACTCACGGGATAGGAATGAGAGAAAAAGTTTGTAAGGATTAGGGGACAAGGATGGCTGGGGAGGGCCTAGGGGAGAAGGGACCATTTCCACCTTCATCAACAAGCTTGCTTACAAAACGGGAGTTACCACAGAATCTAATCACTGACCAAGGTGAGGTAGAGAGCCAGCAGAGACATGGGGGAGACAGAGAACACCGCTGGGTCAGGGTAAGATGCCTCAGATTCTAAATGGAGTTTGATTTTGAGTTTGTCAGTCAGAGGCATCCTGACTAGAAAACAACAGTATGACAACTTAATGGCTACGAGGTATCACTGGAATAGTGTCCTGCTCAGGGGTAGGGGCTCCAAAGTAGTAGTTTGGTCAAGATCAGGTGACAGGAAACCAGAAGCAATGGCCAGAAAGGTTGGAGTGGAGTGGTTGCAAGATGGTAAGGACTGTAAAAGCCAAGAGTCAAGCAGGATCTTAGCAAGCCTTCATGGCAGAGCAAGCTGCAGGGGAACCAGGCCTTAGTTAGAACTAAAGCTAAGAACTTGCCAGGAATTCACTCCTGAGGCCAGCCTGCTCCAGATGTCTTAGTAGATCACCCATTGTTGGCCCCTAATGAAACCGATATTCTTTGAGATCGTGTAACCTGTACTAGGAGAAGACATTTGTTTTTCACCAATTAAGATCACAGGAGCATTTAGAGATAGATCATCTTAAAATTTAGAAATCGTCTCAATGTATCCCTCTCCTTTCATATAAGAAAAAAAAACAGGCCTAGAGAAGTTAAGTGACTTGCAGTAAGTGACAAGCAGAGATTCAAACCCGTTTCCTCTGATTCCATATCCATTGGTTTTCCCACTATGTCTGGTTTATTTCTTCTTATTTCTGTGGATGCCCAAGACTCCCCTCATAGGGGAGAACAAGGATTCAAAGATGGATGTGACTATAGTCCTGTTTTCCATTCCAGGTTCTCACAGAGATTTCAGTGCTGTGTGGGTGATGTCTCTAGAATAGATAGGACAGAATCATGTCATTTCCTTTTACTGTGAGGCGGGTTGGGGAAAACTGGGCCCAAATCCACAAACATCCCCAACAGGGAGAAGAGAATGATATCCATCCTCCTGTCCCTCCCAGTGAATAAGAAAAAACCTCTGGGTATTTTTGTTTGCGACTGGCAAGACCTACCCCCCTTTCTCCATCACCCATCTACTAGGAGAGAACTCATCATTTAGATAGCTCTTAGGTCGAACTACCATTGTAATCTGCCAGGTAACTTCCTTTGGTCCATAGAGAACCAAGACTGAGGGAGAGATGTTCACCAGAGTCTGAGAATAGATATGATAACTATGTGGTTGTTGATTTTAAGCCAGTTCTGAGCTGTTTGTCTCAGATTAGGTATCATCTAGGGCAGGGTATGTTTACTCTCTTTGATCAGAGATTTCTTGGGGACAGACACAAGTGAATCTCCTTTTTAGTTTTTGATTCCCTGATGGTAGGGCAGCACATTTGTCCAAGGAAGCTCCTTGGTGGCAGGGCTGTGTCTTTTCCTCCCTTACTCAGGTCTCTCTGAAGTCCCAGATCTACTACAAAGATGATGAGCCCCCTCCACCCTCTCTCATCCCTGGTTTCAGGAAAAAATAAGGTTGTCTCATGCTATTTAAGATCTGCCTTCCACCATTCCTTCTGGGATGCCTGCTACATAATTAAGAAACTTGCTTTGTTCACACTTTCATTTATGTGTTGCCTTCTCCTTGGTTATGGTTGGGAATTTGAATGCTTCCAGACACTCCCTCTATCATCATCACTCAGGAATTTCTCTTTTGAGGTCCATTCAATCCATGTTTATAGCCCCATCAAGATTCTGGTAACTGTTATCTCTTGATCTCCAGGACATTCTCTTCTTCTTTTCAATGAGTTCAGTCAATGCCTGGCTCACAGTCGGTCTCTCTTCCCCATTGCCCACACTTATACCAGGGGACTTCAAAGTACATATCGATATTCCCTCAAATTCTTAACTCCCCAGATCTCCATGATTTCTTCACCTCATCTCAGCTACATTCGAACATGGCCATCACCCACAAGTGTTCTTCCATGTTCATAAATTCTCAATTCCTTTATCTGATTACAATCTGCTGTCATTCCACCTTCCAACCTGTCTGACAACCCCTAACCCTGTTTTTCCTTTTCACCAGGACCTCCAATTCTTCCACCTCAAAGTTCTATCCCAGTTCTATCTCTACACTAACTTCATTCTCCTCCTTTGCCCATCTTGATCCCTTGATGAACCAGTTCAACTCTACACTATCCTCTTTTCTCAAGTCCCTTACTTCCTTATTCTGTTATCAATCTTTTCCTACCAAGTTCCAGCCTTAGATAACTCTCACCATCCTTGGGGAAAGGAATATCTCCTATTACCATAGTGTTGAATGAAGCTGGAGAAAATCACAATAGGTTCGCTATAAATTATGTTACAGAATTTCAACTGAGCCCTCACTGTAGCAAGACAATCTTTTTAGACCACCTCCCTAATCATTTCACTGTATCACCACAGCAGCTTTTCCAAGCTTTTTCATCCTCATTAAAAATACCATGGCTCTTTCTGCCCTCCCTCTCCACTAAGAAACTTGACTCATATTTTGCTGAAAAAAAAAATGAGGCTAGTTACTGGGAGCTCTCTCTTCTCTCCTCCTCATCTTATATCATTTAGATGCCTTTTATCACTATCTCCTCCTTCACCCCCATCTCGCATGAAAAAGTTGTGCTTCTTGCCAAGGCAAATCCTTTGCATGTAATCCAATTTCATCCCATCTTGTTCAACAGATTGCACCCCTGTTATCAACCTCACTCTCCCAGTGATCTTCAATCTCTTCCTATAATCTCAGCCTACTGGGTGCTTCCTTACTGCCTACAAACACATCATGTCTTCCTCATCCTCAAAAAACATTCACTGGATTAATCTCTACTTATTTTTATGGCTAAACTCCTTAAGAAGGCTCTCTTCAATAGGTGCACTTCAATTCCCCTCACTACCTTCCTGCTCTCTTATGTCTGGCTTCCAGCCTCATCGTTCAATTGAAACTGCTGTCTTTAAAGCTACAAATAGCCTCAGTTGCCAAATCTAATGACCTTTTCTTAATACTCATCCTTTTAAAAACTTTTTTTTGTTGTAAGTTTCAAATTGTCCACCTCCCTCTCTACCCAGTGAAACAGAGAAGGCCACCATTTCACACAGATTTTGTATGTGTGTGTGTGTGTGTGTGTGTGTGTGTGTGTGTGTGTGTGTGTGTGTAAAACCATACTATGCATATATACATACTTCTGTTTATTAGTTGTTCTTTCTCTGGAGGTGGATAGCATTTTCCTTCATAGGTCCTCTGTAGTTGATCTGGATATTTATAATACTCAGAATAGCATAGTCCTTTACAGTTATTCTTTCAACAATATTGTTTACTATGTACAGTATTCTCTTGGTTCCGCTCATTTCATTCTTCATTATTTCATACAAGTCTTTCCATGCTTTTCTAAAAATCAATCTGTTCATCATTTCTAACAGCACAATAGTACTCCATCACAATCATATACCACAACTTCTTTAGCTATTTCCCAACTGATGGGCTTCCTTTCGATTTAGAGTTCTTTGCTACCACAAAGAGATCTACTATAAATATGTTAGAACATATAGGTTCTTTTCCTTTTTCCTAGTCACCTTGGGAAACAGACCTAATAGTGGTATTGCTAGGTCAAAGGATATGCACAGTTTTATAGGTCTTTGGGCATAATTCCAGATTGTTCACCAAAAGAGATCAGTTCACAGTTCCATCAGTATGTTAGTATTAGTGTATTAGTGTCCCAATTTTTCCACATCCCTGCCAACATTTGTTATTTTTCCTGTCTGTCATTTTAGCCAATCTGATAGATGTGAGATATCTCAAAGTTGTTTTACTTTGCATTTCTCTAATTAATAATGATTTAGAGCATTTTTCCATATGATTATATATAGCTTTGATTTCTTCATCCAAAAACTGCCTATTCATATTCTGGGAAATGACTCGTATTCTTATAAATAAGGCAAAGTTCTCTATATATTTGACATATGATACCTTTATCTGAGAAACTATAAAATTATCCCTCAATTTTCTGCTTTCCTTCTAATCTTGGCTACATTGGTTTTATTTTTACAATTAATGTAATGAAAATTATCCATTTTACACCTCACAATGCTTTCTATCTCTTGTTTATTCATAAATTCTTCTCCTATCTGATAGGTGACATGCTCCATGTTCTTCTAATTTTCTTATGATATCTCCATATATATATTTAGGTCATGTATCCATTTTGACCTTATCTTGGTAAATTGTGTAAAGTATTGGTTTATACCAAGTTTCTGCCAGACTGCTTTCCAGTTTTCCTGACAA